CAGAAGAAAAGAAGGAGAGGAGGAGAGAGAGAGAGAGAGAGAGGAGGAACCTCGAGCAGAGCAAATATACAAACGCGACTCCTTAAAAATAACCAGTCGCAGGCCAGGTTCGCGAGTATCTTGAACTTTTCGCCGGTGATCCTAAAAATAGTAAGAGGCCATACGTCGAAAGTCGTATCCGAGCCGAGGGCTTATCGCGTTTTCCATTCACGGAAATCGCATACACGGCGTAAGTGCATTTCCATGGCGGAGAGGATGGTCGTAAACCTTGGCTCACCTCAAGGTTGGCACCGAGGTGCGAATTATCGCTCCACGGTTAAATTGCCCGTTGATTTTTCCAATCTCTGCGGTGTAAAAGGGATGCGGGGAGTGGTGGTGGCTATCTTGTTACGGCTGCACGTGCATCGGTTCGTGCAGGGGTCGCGGGACAAACTGGTGGAATTATAGGTGTCGGCCAAGTTCGCGGGTGCACGAGTCGCGGAAATTACGAGGACGATGCAAAATACGACTCGGGCTTCTCTTTCGTTCGACCGTGACCCATAAATCCGCCGCGAGTGTCGGCGTGACATGGGCGTTTCTTTTTCTTTTTCGTTCCTTTTTTTTCTCGTCGAGAGAGAGAGAGAGAGAGAGTGGCACGTGATTCGTTCTGGATGAAATTTTGCTATTAAAGGTAAGAAAATTGTTGCACAGGTTGTTTGATGAAGGGACGCGTGTTAGATTTCGTGAAAATTTGGATAAATTGTTTTTTGAACAATGGCTTGGTGATTCGATGAACTTTGTCGGTCGGGATTGTGTTTTTTTAAATTTAGAACGTGGTTCAACGAATTCGCGGTAAAATCGAGGGAAAATTTTATAATTGAAAGAATTATTTGAAACGAAGATGGCGATATTCCTCGACGATTATAACAATACAAACAAAAGATTAAAAGGGAAGGGAGAAAAAGAATAAATTTAACAACGAACAATCGTTGACACAGCAAATACAAAATAATATCACAGGTTTAAGTGGCGAGGTACTAAGCGATTAGTCATACACGTAGCATGAGAAAGTGGGTCAAATAAAACGGGGTATAGGTAGTATGCAAGTTCCTGATTTTATGGCGAACGACAAGAGTAATTATTCATACTACTCGAATCGCTAATGGCAATGAAGTGGTGTCGTTAGAAGACCCTCGTCTTCTATGGATAATTATCTTCGAAGCTTCGCTTAAGATTTAACACCTTCGTGAGTAATGGCGTGGATCTGTGGTTCCCTTCTCAGTGTTAAAACTGAAAATCATTTCGCACGATATCGTAACAATTTGTAACGGTAATTTTTCATAAATTATCCTTCTTTTATTTTTCAATCATATCGTACGAGTTTTATCTTCTATTACGATGATCGACAAAATTTCAACTGTATATCCTTTCACTTGCACGATGTAATTAATTTCTCTCTCTCTCTCTCTCTCTCTCTTGAATTTAATAAGTCATGAAAAATCTCTGTCTGGAGGTGTAATTCTCAGATATTTAGATCTCGAAATTTCAATTAATGAAGTGAATTCATAATAATCCACGATGATAATTCATCTTTTAACAACGTTTATATATCTCTAATTGAACTTTTAATTATTTGTAATTAACAAGCTTCGTTGAATTTGTATATCAGCGCGCTATTACATCACGCTTTCGTACGAGTGTAAATACTAATTAAGATGAATGCAATTTTAAACTCGCTGTGTTTATCTTATGAAATTAAATTAAATAAATAAATTAACTTATGAAACATCCTATTCTAACAACGATCCAAATCTATCTCTTTCGTACAGTGGTATAGTGGCAAAATATTATACCTAAACGAACAATTTGAAAATAATATGTTTATTATTTCTTTACAGAAAAAAAAAATATTTATTCGAAAAACAAGAAACACACGTATCATTTACGTACAAGCATGCACTTACTTCTATTACACGAATCGTGGTGATAATTAAACCTTCTTAAACAATATTCTCGCGCGAGCATCCATTCTGCTCACGTGTGAGATCACGACCTCGGCTTGGCAATGACATTTCTCCCGTATTACAAAGATCTCGAAATTTTTAACATTTCCACGGGTCTAATTACCAACGTGAGATCGTATCTTCGTTCGAAACGAACGCGATACGAGCGCGGAAGTCGCGTGACTTAACGAACAACACTGTTTGATAAATTGGCACCGATGGCGTGAGGATGGATTAACGTGTACAAACCGAAGAATTAATTATTTGGAATTGTCGCAATTAATTAGAAATTCGGAAACATGGGAAAAATTTATTGGTAAAATTAATTGTGCTTAATTGTTTTTGACGTATAGGCGACGTGGCAACGAAATATTGTCGTTTGCACAAGTTTACGTTAATTATGTAAGGAATGGTTGTGTAATGGATGGAGAATCGTTGGAACAGGTGTTTCTCTCTAGTTGAGAAATATCTGGTTTCTTGAATTTTCGTGGGGAATTAATTTAAAGAGGACGTCTCGAATAATTGCTCGATGATTCGTTACATTCGTTTTAAAGTAAATGTTGAAGATTCTGGATCAAAAGGAATTTAATTTTTCGTAATACCTAGTTTATTTTTAACAGGACAAGATTTGATTACTTTTATATTCTAAATTGGCTGTATAGATCATATATTTAATCGAAGAATCGTCTAACTTATTCAAATATTATTAAATATATCCACGATTTAAAATTTATCTTCTATATATACAAAATAGAACTAAACAAACAAGGAGATCGTTATCAAGTATCAAACACCAGATATTATTGCAACAAAAAAGAGATATTCAAGCTGAATAAGATCTTTTTGCATACCTAAAAAGCCATTCTACGATCAACATTCTCCACGTACAACCACTTTTATCGATCTCCTCTCCATCCGCATCGAGATATCATCACGTTCTCCTTACCGCAATCGACCCTTCAAAAACGATCCATCAAGTACAATATAACAAAATCATTAAGACAGTTCTGCGTCTTATTATTACGATGTAATTCGCCATAGAAAATCAAAGGAGAAACATCAACGTCCCTCAAACTCACAAATCAAATCCTTATTTTTCATTCTTCTAATTTTCATCAGTTATCATAAATTTAACATAATTATCCACATTCGGTGCAGGATGATCATTTAATTCAAACACAATTTTCGTCTGCGTAATATTTGAATAAAAAGAAAGGAGGTCGCAACTCAAAGAAGGATATATCGTGCTTAATCTAAAATTCCAATATTCGCTATTGCATAATCACGATTCCATGACGACTCGACGTGTTAATTTAAATTTTTTCCTTACAAAAGGAAAAAGAAGACCGAAAAATCGGAAAGAGGAATCGGAAAACACCCTCCTCGTCTAATCCGAGAGAGAGTTTCCCTCCCCCTGCATGCAAATCTCGTAACGTCACGCTGGCTTCGGTATGCGGCCGATTAAACCTTGTTCCAGCGGGTTGGTCGCGGCGATTTGTCATTGGCCGCGCGAGCGACACGCGAAATACGCATTTAAGGGATCGAGCGCCACGGGTAGGTGAAGCTTTATCCCTATCCTCGTTACAAATAACTCCCCGCGTGATGCATTCGGTATTCGAGTTCAGCGGGGTGGCTCCACTGTCCGAAGCTTTAATATCCGCCGCGCGGTTTTTCTGCCCGCGGAAATTACGGCTCCCACCGAACTATTTACGAGAACGTGGGGGCGGATCGAGACGTCGTGAATACCCTACCCTTTGTGCCGCGCTGTTTCTCGTAAGTTCAGTGAAAATCCTTTTAATCGATTCCCAACACCTCGTGCGACAGGCTCTGTGTGAGAGAGGAGTATGCGAATGTATTTACGAGGTCTGATAATCGTTGGGCTTTTAGAATTATTATACGATGCTTCGAAGCGAGAGACCGTTTTCCCTATATGATATATCGAAGGAATTTTGAAATTTTTCTTTTGGATTTGTGCTTTATAAATTATTAATTTAATTTATATTAATTTTGGATCAATATTAATGAAGATGTGTACAAATGAAAATTGTAATTAATAATTGCACCGATTGAACACTGTGAAATGATTACGGCTGTTTTTACACTTGAGAATAAGAGAATAATGTTAGAAAGTGTGGAAGTAAAATTTCGTAAAGGTATTTTAATAGCATTTGAAATTTTAACGAGGTAGGGTACGTGTAGAATTTATATCTCGTAACATCCAGTTGAAATATATATTGAGACGTCGACTGCTCGTTTCTTATGATTTCTTATTGTAAGCCGTTGCGGCCATTTGTAACATCACGCGGTAAAATCTAACCAAGTGAGATGTATCCCAGAAATGTGAAACTTGAAACTCGAATATCTTACAGCCTTGTTTCCACTCTTACTAAACCTTATGCTTGTTCTATCAGAATTACATTCTATTTTCTGCCAGAGAGTAATCTTGCCCGGAAAGCTGTTTCGATCTTCCTAAGTAAGATGTGTATTCCGTCTTTTTAACCTTATCTTATTACCTTTAAACTAAACTGAAAGTAACAAAATTTTGAAAAAGTAGAATAGGATAAATAAAAGACAAAAATAAATATTATAAGAATAGAATAATGTGTAATTACTTGAACTAACATTCAAGAAAGGTAATTTTTTATCAAACACTTTCAACCCCTATAAAAATATATTGCACAATACATTTAAAAACAATTTTTACATTATCTTTCAAACGATACTCTTCCTCCAAAAGAGAAAAGAAACTTTACTTAAATTCGAATCCGTAATAAAGCGTATTCAAATTAAAATAAAGTTAATTCGTTCAGGAGATTGGAGATAATCGGTGTTGGAGCTCGATCCATCTTCCCTCGAAATGGTTATTCTACCTTCATTGCCCGTATGTTTAAGTACAAGGGGCTACAAATAGCTCGTGACATCGTATAATGTAAACTCATGGAAAACTAAACGCCCACGATTCGATGCATGAAGAACGAGAAGGAGAAATAATAACTGGTAGAATACCATATTTTGCAGACTTGCTCCCAGCTAATATCACGCGATTTGCTCGTACAAATTAATGCACGCGATATGGTTATTGTTTATAATACAAGGGAATGCGCTCTGTTTCAATGCATTTCAACAGTGCGTGTGTGTACATACCTTGATGTGTGTACCTCGCAGGCAAAATGATGCCATTGATTATGCCGTAATTATGCACCACCACATAGCGTGATATCAGGCTTATGGAATGTTGTCATTTGAAACATTATTTCTAATATCTTTTGAAACACTTTTGGAACGAAATTATTCGAAACACGTAGAAACTACGATATTACACTTAAAATCTGATTTAACGATTGTTTCCTTCGATAAATAATAGTTTTTAATATTGAAGATGTTGTTTCAAATAGAATTTTCCCAAATCTGGACGATATTTCAATTCAATTCATATAATTTTTCTCTACTTCAATTTTAACAAAAAAAAAAAACAATAGACGACACATATTTAATTTAATTTCAGATAAGATTTTTCTCGAATGAGGACGATACGCAGTTTACAACATATCTTTTCACTCAATCACTTGACACACTCTTACCACGTGACAGCAATAACATCTTGAAAGAACCGTTCCAATGGATTTATGTAATAATAGAATGTTTTTCCTAACAGTTTCTCAAGCAAAGTCTGTTACGAAGAGAGACGCGAAACTGGATCGAAAGAGTTGATAAGTTACTTACATTGATATGGATCTGTGAATAAATTTCGGAAAGTATACGGGTATTTCACAAATTAAATTAGTTAAAAAATTTATTATTTCCGCGTTAGGGAGGAAGCATGGATTGCAGCTAACAGCATTACGCGATAAGTGCGTTTACAAGGATGATTCACACAAGGCTGATAACGCTAAACACGTAACAATGTAAACGTGACAAGTAAATATAGCTGCTAAGACGGTGTCTCGACACGCTGTAGATAATGCACAATTAATTTCGACAAATAAAATAAATTGCCGTTTTAGAATCAATTTATGTGTATCTATAATGTCTAAGTAATTTTAGCTGTTTTAACGACGCGCCATTATTGATTATATCGGTCGACGTATATTTCAAATCGTTCATACAAAGTTAAAAATGTTGATTTTCGAAATTGAGTAAATGTTTCGCGTTTTTTCTTCGATCGAAATGAAATACAATTTTGCAATGAAATAACCAACCAACAGCCGTGACGAATTCAAGCCGTGTACTTATTACTAATTATACGTTAATATAAGTAACTTTGCTCTGTTGTGTGAAAATTTTATAACAGAACAGATATAACAGAAGTTGAAAAATTGAACATTATTTCAAAATTTCATGCATAGATTTCAGGATAGAATATTAATAAATAATTGAAAAAAAAAGAATACAAATTTATGAAAAATTAAGACAGATGCTTGAAGGAAATATAATTTATAATTTATAATTATAATATTAAAATATAATCTATCTTTAATAACAGTCAAATCAACGTGCTTTCATTTCCACTTTTTATATTATCTAATATTTCTTTCCATCCCCAAAAATTATTTAAACATCGATCATCAAAATTTTCAAAAAATTTCAATACACTTGTAAATTTTATAAATTATATACTTAATACATAGCTCGTGAAAAGAATAACAGGAACAGTATTGGCTGTTAGTCTTTTGTTCCGATCACGGCTATTGAAAATGTCTGTGGATAAATCACGTGCAAGTGATAAAATATCGCACGTGTTATCGTTCATCGCCCAATGCTTTATTTTCATTCCGTTGTACCCTGATCTCGCGAGGAGCGGAAGCATCTTTGAATACTGTATACCACGAGTTCATCTCTCTGTAAGATATTCATCATTCTCTACTTGCTCACTCTTTACCGGACACCATTTATCTCTTCGAGGCAAAAAAGTGTTCGAAGAGAAAGAAAGAAAGAAAAAAGATTCCCTTGCATACTAGATCTGAAATCAAACAGATCGAACTGTAAATAATCGAGATGATGGAAGCATATCGTTAAAAAAATATGGAGGGAAATTTGAAAGGGTATGATCTGAAAGAGAATTAAAAATTAAAAATCGTACGATAAATTGATAGTTGGAGAGAGAGAGAGAGAGAGAGAGAGAGAGAGAGAGAGAGAGAGAGAGAGAGAGAGAGAGAGAGAGAGA